CAGCTCCAGCTTTTGTGGTTATTTGGGGAGTGAACCAGCAGAAGGAAGATCTTTCCCTGTCTCCCCTTCTCTCTGTGTGTAAATATTTGAAAGCATTCTGAACTCACCCGGAAAGCCCTGTGTTTCATAGCTCTTATTCTGAGTGCCCGGCCTTGCCTGAGGTCATGCAATAGCAGTTACCCTGAGTGGCAGCTGCTGCATGACCAGCCCTTACTAAATCACAACAAAGCCAACCACACCAGCGGTGGACTCCAAGTCACACGTGCTGCGTATGTTACAACCGCCTATGAACTTGACAATGCCATCATCCCGGGTTGAGGCTGAGCCACTGAGACGGAGCAAGATGTCACTGCTTTTCCAGGCCACACAGTTGGTGGGGAGCAGAGCTGGGGTTTGACCTTAATCTTGTTTGACATCACATTCCAGTTCCGCACCTCTCTGCAGTTCTGCAGGAGGCCTGCCTGATTCTAACATGGTGTGTGGGTTGGGGGGTTTCGGAGACCCCTCCCCACATGACAGCCACCTGAATTTCCTGGGAGCCTTCTGGGGTCCTCTCAGTAGGAGCCCAAGGATTACAAAAGTCCATGTCCCATATTCTGACAGTGTCAGCTCCTTGCTGCCAGGCCCGCTGGGACAGTGCACGACCACAGCAGCTTGGGTCTTTTATTAGCAAGAGCAGCCATTCATCACCTCCCTTGGCTGGGGGCAGACGACGAATAGCCCGGAACCAGCTGTGAGTGTCTCTGAAGTCCTGTTGGCTCTTTGTTCTGGGGCTTCACAGGGGGGAAAAAAATGAGGCAAGTGTCACCAGGCATCAGCTTAGAGGCAGGCGTGGAAGAGTTCTCCAGGGTTTGAAAGAGGCCACCACCCCCTGGGTAATTAGGCCAGGCTCTACAGTGTTAAAGACGCTGGCGAGGAGGAATGACAGTGGGCTGCGAGCTGCTCACAGCTACCTAGCTACTGATAATCAGAGAGAGATTGGATGGCACAAAGGGCCTAACTGTCCAGGGGGAATTCAAACCAGCTATTTTTAGACCTGACCAAAGGCTCCTGCAGGCTGTTAGAAATTCAAATCGCTGGAATTGGGCGTTTCTCATGGTGAATTTGGAAGTCTTGCTTAGGAAGAGGGGAGGCCTCATGGCTACTCCGTCACCCACAGACACTGTGCCTAGACGCGCTGTGTCGAGACTCCTTCCTTTGGGGCTCAACCTAGGCTCACAGAGAACTCACGTATGGCCCAAGTCAACGCAGCAGGCAGGGCAGAGAGCTGGGATAGGAACAAGGCCTGCCTGATTCCAAAACCTTCATCACTGGTCAGGTTTCCCCGACTTCCTAGATTTTGCTTGGTGTGGAAGAAGAGAAAAATCAACTTTCCTTTGCCTTTGTACAGGACAAAAGTCTCTGTTGCTGTTCTGTTTCTGTTGCTCCCTGCCTTTGCCCTACACAGGGCCCGTGTGAACTAGAACGTGAGGACTCCTGGATACACTTCCCCATCAAGGAGAGGGTAGGGGCCTTCAGGGCTTGGCAAAGAAGGAACTAGATGTGCCCCACCCAAGATGTCACATTCCCTAACTCCAGAGGAATTGTTGTAGCAGAGTCTGAGCAGGAGGCACACACATTCTATGGAATTCTCCTTCTGACTTTCTAGAAATTCAGTAAAAAAAAAAATGATAACTGCCAGAACTAACAGCCATACAAGCATCCACCATGGAAGCTGTGAACTGGAAGTCAGGGATCTGTTTTTGTTGTTGTTGTTGTTGTTTTGGTTTGGTTTTTTAAAATCAGGATGGTGTAAACTGCAGGAGGCCTTTGCCAAAGTGAGCGGGTGTTGGGTAGGGGGCAAACAAAAAAAAGAAAGAAAACCCTGTAGTCCTTGGAGGGACAGGTTTGCCACAGCACGGTCAGCACCATGGACAGACACCCAGGTTTCATCCCCCTCCCCCTGGCCAGCCCGCAGAACTCCCAATGCAGCAGTACCACAGTTGAAAGCCTGAAGGGGTCGTCAGGCAAATGGAATTCCTTACAAAGTCTGATAAAAACATTATGCTCTTTAATCACCAGCAGGTCACTCCCCTGGGAGGAGAGCTTCACATGCTGACACATTTAGCTATGCAACATGTAATGATCCCATCAAAAAGGAAATCCATTTCCTGAATATTTTGCAAGAAGGGCAAAAAGTCCATGTGTCTGTGAGTCCAGGCAGAGGAGCAGGGTGTCTGCCCACCCTGTTCCTCTGCCAAAGCCTTCAATGTTCCAGGCTCCCAAGTAGGAAGATCCCCTGCACCCCAGAAACAATACACTACCTCCCAGGCAAAGGGGACGCCCTCCTCCTCCACCAACACACACACACACACACACCCCGCCTGGTAGCTCAGGACATAATGAGCTTCCTTCCTCAGATCTTCCCAGTCATTAAGAGTCCAGTGCCGCAGCTCAGGATAACCCAATTAGGACACAGTGTTCATACCAACTAATGACTCCACAAAGGGAATCTGGTTTCTTGCAGATCCGTTTCCTGGAGCATTTGCTCATTTCCCTGCCTGGTGTAACAGACATGAGGGTGGTGCTCCGCTGACATGGAGGGTATCCCTTTCTGATTTATCTGGGTATGCAGTATTTATGGAAAGCATAGATGCTTATGTATGAAGCATATGCATGGGAAGCTAAGGGGTCCTTGAGTCAGGACAAAAACACTGGCAGTTCCAAATCTCTTAGAGTCGGGAATCAGGCCAGGATGGGGAGGGGGGACAATCAGGGGTCAGGCTAGATGATGAGATCTTAGGGGTCTGCACCTCTCCACACCCAGTCCGCACAGGTGCTCATTGAGTGCTCTGGCTCCTATAAGTGCTCCCAATTCTCTCTCTCTCTGTACACCACGTTGCCAACTGGTCGCCCACTAAGAGACCTAGTCTGACATACCGGTCTCTTTACCCAAGCTGCTTCAATGCTAGACCCAACCACAGTAGTCTTGAGGTGAACAAGGTTGGATGTTCTTACACAGTCTGCAGCTCAAAGTGTCCCAACTTCAGACCTTGTACAGTGATGATGAAGAAGGCCCAGGACGGGCTTGGATAACTGTGAACTCCACTGTCAGCAGGAAGGAATGCATTCCTCCTCTGGGGGACCAACACAAAGGGCAGTTTGCAGATGGCGGTACCCAGGATAACTCGGAAGAAGCTGAGGAGTATACAAATGTGCCCGGGCAGGCTAGGGAACTGCCCATAGCAACTGCCCAGGCTCCCCCTGCCAACTGTCACAAGGACAAAACGCATCCTATTGTAACAGATCCTGGGGATCTCTGCGCACTGAGGCTTGTGCGATTTGGCTTTGATGGTCCAGGAAAGCGTTAGGATACCAGGTGATCACAACAATGTATGCATGCTGAGAGGAGGGAGACTGGGAGAAAGAGAGAGAGAAGGAGGAAGAGAGAGAGAAAAGAAGGGAGAGGGAGGGAGAGAGAGAGAAAGAAAGAAAATAAGGAAAAAGGAAGAAAGAAAGACACAGCTTGCATCACCTAACCAGCCTAACCCTGAACTTTGAAGAGCCTGGCAGTGTCTGGATTATACACACACACACACACACACACACACACACACACACACCCCTCTCCTTGTTATCTATACTAGTCTCACACACAAGGTCATCTTCTTAGAAGCAACTCCTCCTCTTTTAAGACCATCTCTTTGGATGGTCCAAGGGTCGCCACTAAAGTAACATGAACACTGGGACAAAAGAGATAGATTATGAGGATGACAGAGCTGTCACCATGTTAAAAATTCATGACACCTGGCCTGGCACGGTAGCCTAGCGACAAGTGTCCTTGCCTTGCATGCACTGAGATCCCATATGGGTGCTGGCTCCAATCCCGGTGGCCCTGTTTCCCATCCAGCTCCCTGCCTGTGGTCTGGGAAAGCAGTCGAGGACAGCCCAGACCCTGCACCGGTGTGGGAGACCCGGAAAAAGCTCCAGACTCCTGACTTCAGATTGGTGCATCACTGGCCATTGCCGTCACTTGGGGAGTTAATCAGCAGACAGAAGATCTTCCTTTCTGTCTCTCCTCCTCTCTGTGTATGTGACTTTCCAATAAAAATAAATTTTTAAAATAAAATAAATATGGGCCCGGCACGATGGTGCAGTGGTTAAGGTCTTCACCTTGCACGCCTGGGATCCCATATGGGCGCGGGTTCTAATCCCCCGCTTCCCATCCAGCTCCCTGCTTGTGGCCCGGGAAAGCAGTCGAGGACAGCCCAAAGCCTTGGGACCCTGCACCTGCGTGGGAGACCTGGAAAAGGCTCCTGGCTTTGGATCAGCATAGCATCGGCCGTTGCGCTCACTTGGGGAATGAATCTTCGGATGGAGGATCTTCCTCTCTGTCTCTCCTCTCTGTATATCTGCCTTTCCAATAAAAAAAATAATAATAAAAAAATAAATCTTTAAAAAAGGTAAAATAAATATTTTAAATAAGTAAAATAAATCTTTAAACTAAAATAAATCCTAAAAACAAAACAAACAAAAAGCAAACAAAACAAAACAAACAAAAAACACGTGAAAGGCCCTGGAGTTGGTTTAAATTCTCCACTGCCTGCAAGTTTCCTCATCTGTAAAATCGGAATGGGTGAATAAAGCGCTTGTGTCACCAGCCACCATGGAGACGCGTGTGCTATCAAGGTGTGTGTACTTGTTCATGTCCCTGATGTCACATATCACCAGGCTCGTGCTGGCAGACAGAGTGCACTGCGGAGATGAGCAGCGATAAGCTCACACTCCAGCCCAGCTTGACAGCCTGGCAGAGGGGGAGAAGGAAGAGGAAGCAGGGAGAGGGAGGCCACGTGGCAGCGTTTATAGTTTGCGGAAAACAGCGTAGGAGGCGAGGCCGGGACTAGGCTGTGGTGGCCTGTGGGCAGGGGGGTCGGCTGGGGGGCTGCTTGCTGGGAGGGTGGGTGAGCGTTGCAGCTGAGGGAGGGGCAGCAGCAGGGAGGGGGCGGGGCTGACTCACGTACACCTGCGGGCTGACTCCTGGGCCAGCTGCAGCCGGTAGACGGACAGGCGGTTGGCACCGCCGCACACGCTGCCCCGCTCGCCCTTGCACTCCATGTCACATTCGGCCTCACTCACGTTCGCCGCCTGGATCTTGTGGCCGCAGTAGCACTCGGCGCCAAACTCCAGTCCCGCGTACAGGTAACCCCTGGGGGAGGAGGAGGCGTCAGCCTGGGAGACCAGGGACGGACAGAAGCAATGTGGGGAGATGGAAGATGGGAGGAGAGGGAAGGGGGGAGTATCTCAGGGGACAGGAGACCCACTCAGGTAGAGACAGGTGTCCTCAGGAGACCGGGAAACCCCTAGGAGATGAGAGGATCCTAGAAGGGGCACAGCAGACACTTCATGGAGAACTGGAGGGTGGGCACAGAGAGCAGTCAGAGAGGCAGAAGTGTTAGATCTGGTGGGAAGGCAGGAGAACCAACAAGGAACTTAGGGTGGACCATGGAGTCAGGGACACGCAGGGAATGGCAGGGACACGCAGACACACCAGGCCTGAGCTCACACCCGCTCACACTTCCACCACACGTTTGTCACTGCCCTAAATCCTGTTTCCCAGCCAACACCCCCACTGCCCCACCATGCTGCTGTTCCCTGTCTGGAGACTTGAGACTTGTGTCCCTCCAGGGCCCAGCTCTTTTCTCTGAAAAATCTGGCCTAGGAATGATGCCTCCGGGCCCCGTGAGGGGAACTGCCGGGCTCTCATCCTCCTCTGGAAGATGGCAGGACTGAGTAAACAGACCCAGCCAAGTAAAAATTCCTTCCCCTAAAGTGAAAAAAAAAAAAAAATCCAGGCACTGCAAGGCTTGCTGTTATTTTTTCCCAGTCGAGGAATCCTTCCCTTAAAAGGACTCTCAGCGGACCCGTCTGCAAACAATGGAAAGGGTGGTGCTGGCTCTGGTTCTGGGGTTGTGGGTAAGGGGTACAGAGGGAGGGCCCAGACAAGCCCTGCTCAGCCCCTGTGCCCTCAGAGGTCCCTGACACGTTCACCTTAACCTTGGGGGCTCCTTAGGCATTAGCCCGCAGAGGGCACAAGTGGGCATCCTTCCCTCCGCATTCACGACTCCCCCATACCAGTATGGCTCCATTGGCCTGGTTTCCTTATCTGCTGCCAGGGATGTGGGCACCAATGGAAGGGCAGGTCAGCTCAACCTTGTTCCTGCTCACTAGCTCTTTGGGGATCTGCCCATACTTGGAAAGTCAAGTTCTAAATTTCCAAAAAGCTATCTTACACTGGCCAACATTGTTAAAGGACCAAGTGGGAGAAAACAAGTGTTCCTATGCCAAGATCCCACTGGATGCCCCCATACTCAAACCTCCCTTCACACAGACACCGTGGGAGCCTCATTTGAGCTTATAGTTGCCTACACACACACACACACTCACTCACTAACTGTGACACCAAGCAGCGAGCAATGCCTCACACCCTTTCACAATGTCAGCGCAGTGGTGCATATCCGGCAATGTGACCAGTCACCTGCGCACGCAGTGCTGGGCCCTTGCACACACATTCGTCCAGATGCCTGAACACACGGCCACTGTTATTTAAAGTCCTACATGTGCCAGCATGAAGCTCCCCCCCCAACACACACACACACACACACACACACACACACACACACACACACACACACAAAACCAGCTGACCTTGTATACACCAGAAACACACTCCTGGACACAATGTGACACACGTGGACAAGTGAACACTCTGGTGGGCCAACTCTGGAACAGTCCTTCTCATTTGCATGCATGCCCTTGCGTCTCACACACACACACACACACACACCCTCCAGTCACCCCTTTCTTATGGCCATATACTCACTTCCCTACATACCCCCTGCCACAATGAGGACTCTGAAGGGGAAGGGGTCTGAGACATGGAGGGCCTACCGTTCAGCACAGTTGTCCTGGCAACGGAAGACAGTCATCTTTTTGTAGTCAAAAAAGGACACGCCTCGTAGGGCCCGACTCTGAGTGTCATCCAGGTAGCAGCCGATATACTTGGCTTTGGGAGAAAAAAAGCAGAAAAGTCAGGTGTGGCTGGGGAAAGAGCTGAGAGGGTTAAGGGAGGGCAGTGCATAGGCCCTTGGCTGTGTGGCATTGTCCATCTTTTGGTACCAATTCCTTCCACTGAGTAGGTACAAGAGAGACGGAACATCAGGTATCTTGGCAGTCTGGATTATAATCAGAACATTGGATGCCAACCAGGGAGGAGGGGCCCTTCTAGGGACAAGAGCCCAGCCAAGTCCCTGGGCTCCCCAACTGGCAGCTGGGCACCTGGGAACCCAGGCCCAAGCCATTCTGTGGCCACAGGCAACATGCCCTGCATAATCTCTAGGATGAGGCTACAATAGGAGGGCTCTGGCGGGCTTGCCGTGTGCCACAGTCGCCACTTTCACAAGCAGCCTCCAAATACTTCTTTCTCCTTGGTAAGTGACCTGCACTTCAGATGTCTCAATGTCCTGGTCCTTATTCCTCCTGGGTTCCTTCCTCCCTAAGGAATCCCACCCAGTGAGCCTCTTAGGGCCCTGTGTCTTCCTGTAGTGGGGCTGCATCCCAGCGAGGTAGGTCTAAGCAGAATGGCTGCCCCCGTGTTGCTGTTGCAGTGTGTTGCACACAAGAGGCACAGAACTCGGGAGAGAGGAACAAGAAACTGGCTGTTGACAGGCCTGTGTAGTGAGCTTTACCGTCGGCCCCTGCTGAGGGTCAGGGTGAATGCTCCCAACCCAAGCACAAATTTCTTTTTTTTAAAGATTTATTTATTTTTATTACAAAGTTAGATATACAGAGAGGAGGAGAGACAGAGAGGAAGATCTGTCTGATGATTCATTCCCCAAGTGACCGCAATGGCCGGTGCTGCGCCAATCTGAAGCTGAGAATCAGGAACCTCTTCCGGGTCTCCCACGCAAGTGCAGGGTTCCAAAGCTTTGGGCCATCCTCGACTGCTTCCCCAGGATACAAGCAGGGAGCTGGATGGGAAGTGGAGCTGTCGGGATTAGAACCGGCACCCATATGGGATCCCGGCGTGTTCAAGGCGAGGACTTTAGCCGGGCCCAAGGACGAATTTCAACGATGTAAAACCACCATCCAGTTATAAACCATACATTTCATTTCTGAAAGTATAAATACTTTCCTGCTCTTTAGGGTAAATAGTAACTCTTCCGCTGCAAGATAACGGTTGATGGTTTATATGTTCCAGAAGTGTTATCCATACATACACCTGCCTATTGCTTTACACACCACTCACTCTGAATCTTTATGATGACCCTCTGACAGTACGATTCCCTGTCTTTACAGAAGATAACATGGAGGCCTAGAGAGGTGGAGTTGTATGCTCAAGGTAACAGCTTGTACTTGTGCAGCTGGGATCCAAGCAGTCTGGTCCCAGAGCCCGTGTTCTGAACCACCTGCTTCTTGACTAACAAGAAGGATCTTGGCGGCAGTATCCTTAGGTGACTAATCAGAAGCCCAGAAAGGAGAAGTGGTCTACCTGAGACCCATCACTAGTTAAGGATGCCCTTCTGGTCACGGACAGGATCCCAGCGCCATGACGCAGGGTGTGGATGCTGTTCACGCCTTTATGGGGCCTGCTGGCAGGGACTTCAGGCTGATTCCAGCTCAGCAGTTCCATAGAGGGTTGAATACCAAGGTGAACCTGATGGCATATGTGCAGGTGCAGCTCCATGTCCATTTCGAAGGAGTGGACGGCCTCGGGTACTGCATCCCTTCCAAATGCTCTTGTCTTTCTCTTCTAAAATCAGAGCTTTTCTTTCCTGATCACAGGTGCCACACTGGCCATGACAGAACCAGTCTGAGGATGCAGCCCACCAACCACAGGTACTGGGTCCAGGAGAAGACACAGGGCCCACTCACAGATCTTTATAGGTTAAAGCTGGGCCAAGGACACCTGCCTCTGCTGGGTGTCAGGATAGTATTCTGGAAGCCCAGAGCCATGACCCCTGCATCAGTATCAATCTTTCTGAGAAAACCAACAAGCTAAGGAGAAGAGAAGGTTCGAGACAGTCACACACCATTTGCTCAAACAGCCCAGCCTGGCAGAGCCCCTAATCTGTAGTTTGGGACACATGGTACAGTGTCTCTTCTTCTTTATCTTAATCTGCTTCAGCCTGGATTTCTCTCCATTGCCATGAGTGGGGCACTGACTGAGATGTTTAGTAACCTGCCCGAGCCCACCCAGCAGTGAGACTCCAGAACACATGCAAGCTCAGGCCTGCCTCTTCCAAAGCTGTCCTTCTCATGTGCACGAGCCGACCCCGTTGAGACATGTCCTTCCTGCTGCAAGTGGAACCTACAGCGGGCATTGAAGGGGGGGCGTCTCCTGGGAGAGCTGGGGTCTGACTCTAGATCTGTGTATCTCCTCCCCTCATCCTCCGCCAAGCCCTTGGTCAAGGCCTTGGAGCACCTGCTGTGTTTCATACCAGGGCCTGACAGACAGCCTGAGCTCTGTGGGTCATGAGCAGAACCCTGAGCTTGTTTCCTTGACCTCCTGGTGGAGGGACAGCTGGCCCCTTGGCCACTGACCAGTGGTACAGGCTGTGACTAGTGCAATCATCCATGGCCACCATCCCTGGGCATCTGTGGCCCTGTTCAGCTCATTATTAGCAATGGTAGTTCCTGTCAGCCACTCAAACCCTTTTAGCCACTGTCCCCAGGCCATACTTTCCATGGTGGTGCAGTGGTAGAAATCTTTCAGATAGGGTTGTTGTGGGGAATAGTTCAGGTATGTGGAATAGGAACAAAATCGCAGGCCCATTGGAGGGTGGATCAGTGGCCACGTTCCACCATCCATCGGCTTGTCTCTGTGCTGTCCCAAGACTGCTGAGAAGGCACATGGCGGGGCTGGACCATTCATCTCAAGCACAGGCAGCAGCCACTGCTACAGCCCTCCAAGTGGCGTTTCTCCCTTTTTTTATTCCCCACAACTTCCCTTTGCCTTCTTCTTTTGTTCCAATTAATCTGATGAAATGTTGTTATCTGTGGCAATTTGCTGAGAGGGTGGCTCAACACGAACTCATTTGTATGCCTCTTATCTGTTGTCTGTGAACCAATTCACAGCGAAAGGCCTCCCACTGCACATTCTGACCCAGTCTGGGTTCAAATCCCTCCACAGGACCCTGCAGAAGCTCTGGAAGATGACTCAGGTTTTTGAAGGTATGGTTCTCTCTTCTGAAGTGGGGCAGGGAGTAGATATTTTGCTAAGGGGTGTTCTGGGTTAGATTTTGTCTTCCCTTTTCCTAAAAACAGACATGCTGGTATTCTAAGCCCACAGGGGGATCACTGGGTTGCCTCCCTTAGGAATGGAGGTTCTGCAGGCGGAATTCTGCTATTGAGTCAACCTGGAGTAAAGCAGGTCCCAATCCAATGTTCCTGGCGTCCTCGTGAGAAGATGATTACAGAAAGGGATGCATCGAGGCTGCCACATGAAGACAGAGCAGAGGCTGGAGCAGAAGGCAGCACAGGAGCCTGGAAAGGAGCCTTCCTCAACACAGCCCTGGCAGCTGCTTGACCTCTGACCTCCAGCGCCGTGAGGGGCAGATTCCTGTCATTCAGTCCATCAGCTTGGAGAATTCAGTTATCACAGCCCCAGGAGCCGAAGACAAGGGGTATCATCGAAGCTGACTGTGATGGAGTTCCATCTATGCACTGAGCTTAGCACTGGGCCTCTCGCAGACTGGAGGATCAAGCAATTACGGATTCGAGGCAGGTGTCTGGAGTGGCGGTGAAGTCACTGCTTGGGATCCCCCCACCCACGCCCATCTCACATCAGAGTGGCAGCTTCAGACCTCAGCGGTTCCACTCCTGATCAAGCTTCCTGCTGCTGTGCCAGGAGAGACAGCAGGGGATGGCCTGAGTACGTGGCTCCTTCCCACCCACGTGGGAGAATCTGGCTCCTGGCTTTGAACTGGCTTTGTCTTGGCTGTTGCCGGCATTTGGGAAGTGAATATTCAAATGAAAGATCCCTCTCCCTCTCCCTTTCTATGTCGTCTCTACCTTACAAATGAAACAAAAATTAAGAGAAGGATTCTCCTACCAGGGAGTCCCCACCTGCTGGGCGGCTCCTTGGGATGAGACCCTGGCGCTGTCTGGGTTTCCTTATCTCCTTGTGCAAGGAGTGAGAGAGACTTCCTGCTCAGGTGTGTAGCTTGTGCAGACCTGCTCCGGCAGAAACAGCACAGGCACTGGAATCAAACCAGGTTTGGTTCCTGGCTCTGCCCTTCACTGGGCAAATCATATGACCTCGTGTGCGCCTGCAACACCACCACTGTAATGAACATCAGTGGCATGTTATTAAGCACCTACTGTATGCCAGGCTATCGCAAGCTCCTTCTGTGCAGGAGAAGTCAAGTAGTACAAGACTCAAATACTCAGTTACTCCTCCTCCTCGGCTGATTAATCTTGGGCACGTTCCTTAAGCTCCCTGTGCCTGAGTCTGCTCCTTAGGAGATGTGGTTAATAACAACCATCTAGCTCCCTGGATTGTCAGGAGGAGTACATGAGGTTGAGAGCATACCTTCTGTGTATCTTATTTGATTATCCCAACGACCTTCAGAGTTAAGTTTCCCCCTTCATTGGAGGAAACTGAGGCTTAAGACAGGTGGAGTGACCTGCCTGAGGCTGCACAGCTGGCAGGTTGCAGACCTGGGATTCAAACCAGTGATGTGGCTGCTGCAAACATAGGCTCCCTCAGGCTGTGAGGTGACTCCACATTGTAGATACCTGCTACATCCAAGAATCCAGATTTCCAGCCCAGCCCAGCCCAGGCACAGCCCAGGCACAGCCCAGCCCAGGCACAGCCCAGCCCAGGCACAGCCCATCCCAGCCCATCCCAGTTCAGCCCAGCCCAGTTCAGCCCAGCTCAGCCCAGCCCAGCCCAGCCCAGGCCCAGCCCAGCCCAGGCACAGCCCAGCCCAGTTCAGCCCAGCTCAGCCCAGCCCAGCCCAGCCCAGCCCAGACAAGCTCAGCCCAGACAAGCTCAACTCAGCCCAGCCCAGCCCAGCCCAGCCCAGTTCAGCCCAGCTCAGCCCAGCCCAGCCCAGCCCAGCCCAGCCCAGCCCAGACAAGCTCAACTCAGCCCAGGCCCAGCCCAGGTGCAGCTCCTCCCCTCCCTTCCCTTCCTGGCTCCACAGCTCAGGCCCTGCATCCCTGCCCCCAGCAGAGCCCTCACCACCGGATTCAGAGAAAACTGAATGTGTTTAGCATCAGGTCAGAGAAGCGTCTCGTTTTTATTAGTGTTAATCTAATATGTCGTCTTTCCTTGCTGAACTCTGAATAAGTTAATCAAGGACAGGCTGGATTTGTGTTTTCTTAATAACACTGCCTGATTCCAAAGGCTGCCTGCTGAGAGCCCTGGGCTTGTGTTACACTGTTTTATCTTCTTGCTCTCTTCGCATTTTATAAATTTTAGAAACTATGTAAGATGGCTCTGTGTGTGCTGGGGGTGGAATTTAGCATGATGCGAAAAAGTTCAACCTATGGAGTTAAACAGGCCCCATTCCAAATTCAGTCCCTCTACTAGCTGCCTATACAACAGAATGAATGATTTCTCGGTCTCAGTTTTACCATCTGTGACATGGTACAACAGTAACCTCCAATTCATGGAGCTATGATATTTAAATACAGCAATGAAACACTTTGCAGCATGATGTAGCTCATAATGATCATTCAACAGACACTGGTTCCCAGTGATGACAGCAATTGCCTACTGACTCGCGGTCGCTCGTGAGCTACAAGATGTGATACGCACTGCCTAGACATCGTTTTCATCCAGGTGACATGGAAAAATCAATAGGACAGGCGGTGGCCAGTAGCTGCTGAAGAATGGAAATCATGAGTAAGAGCAATGTAAGCATCCGTACCCATGGGGGCTGGCAGGCACCAAAGTCTGTGGACACTCGACTCCTTGCTATAAAATGGCACCATGTCTACACTGAGCCTACACACAGGCCTGCATCCGGTGATACCAAACGCAGTGTACACACTCTGCTGACGTGAAAACGAGTCTGTGCATGTTCAGTCCAGGCATTGCTTCTTTTTTTTTTTTCCCCTTGAGTATCTTAGGTCAGTGTTTGGTTGAACCTGAACCTGAGGGGGGGAGGTGGGGACAAGGTTAAGGGGAAGGGTGAGGGCTCACTGCACTGAATCCTCACAATCACGGATGGATTGGGGTTGTTGCATATTGTCTTCCCGGAGACCCCACATTTCCAAGTGTCACTGAGTGGATCTGTTGTCTCCAGTTTCACGTGACAGGGGCGTGATCAAGAATAGGAAGGACCTTAACCCCAGAATAGGCGATGACCATTCAGAAACAAGGGGCAAAGCCAAAGCACCAAGTGCTGGGTGTAAACCAAACTGGGGGATGGGGCTGCGACTGGAAAGTGGAAACCCCTGAGTTAGGATGTTTGGGGACAGCGTGAGATGGAGCTAAGCACAGATCTAGGTGAGGAGCATCCCAGATCAAGGGGCTGAATACACTGAGATCTGCAGGAACAGGCGTGGCGTACTCACGCACAGTATGAGGAAAATGGGGAGGGGGAGTGGCAGTGTTACCAGGCCAAGCACGTAACCAGGAAGGGGAGTCTGGAAACCGTTCTAAACATGCACTAAGGTGTAGACCCCGGAGACTGGCGGGGCTCTCTAACAACCATCTGGAGTTGGGAATGGCTGGGGTGAGGTGCGGCTTGGTCCCTGGAGAAGAAGGTGGAAGGGGAAGCTTCAGCAAATGGAAGGCTTAGGACAGTACAGAAGGGATAGTAAGTGCACAATAAATGTTGGTGCTTGTTATCTGCATTGAACAAGAACTTCAAAAGACTGCTTTGAACTCAGAGCTGAGGTTCAAGCCAAAACTTGTTTGTTGACAAACTGTGCGATCTTAGGAAAGCTGCTTAACTTTCCAGGGTTGCAGTTTATCCTTCTGTGGAATGGGGATAACCATGAGACCTAGTAGACATCCACAGCTCTAACGTCATGACAGTTGCTTCCCAGCCCGCCCATTCCCTTCCCACCAGTCCCTTCCTTGTGGGGTTCCTCACCCCTCCTTACCTCGTTCCTCTTCCTTCTCACGGGCGACCCTGCCCTTGAGGGCACGGCTCCAGGCTCCGCCGTAGTCGCTCGGCTTGGTTCTCTCACTCCCGTCTTTGCCCTTGAACCAGGGCCCGTACCTGCGGGCGATGCTGGAGGCTTCGCCTGTGTCCTGGAAGCCCCTGCCCAGGTGCAGGTCACCCAGGAAGGGCAGCTCGGCATCCTCTGCTGGACCTGCCACAGCAGAGCTGGCTTGGTTCTGGGAGACAGCAGGCTGGCCCACAAAACCAGAATGAAGGAATACGAGACTTCCTGCTGTCAGGTACAGCGCCAAGAAGGTAAAGAAGCGCAAGGGTTTCCGGCGGAAGTACCGCTGAAATTTGAACCAGAGTTTGGCCATAATGGGATCATTCCGGCCTGGCTCGCTGGGGGCTTGGCATGGGGTTCAGGAGTGAGGTTTCTCTTCCAGATGGGATTCCCCAGAGATCCTTGGTCTTACTCCTTCTGCAAAGGTGACTGGTAAGACCAGAGCGGGATGGCACGGCCGGGGTGTAGCTGGAGGCTGGAGCCTACCAAAGTCAAGATGAGTTTCTTTGGGTCAACAATGGGGTTCTGAGGCTCAGGGGCCCCAGAAGTTGGCCCCATTTTCCTACATGTTCTTCCGTTTGGAGAGAACCTCAACAAGTAGTGACTGCAGGAGGACTCAGAGGGTCTGAAGCAACCGCAGCTCACGTCTCGCCCTTCTTCAGCTGCTTGGGGCTGTCCGACCTGGATTACTTCATTGAGGGCCTTGATCGTGGCCTCTTTCCTGGCTGGGGACCATGTTCGGCGTGTCCATCTGCTGGGAGCACACGTTGGCAGGCCTCCATCTGGTCAAGTGTCAAGGTTTAGGGCTGCCACCTGCAAAACAGCACAGACCCAGGGATTAGAGGGCCCCGGCCCAGTACGCAGAGGGTTCACGAGTGTCTTCAAATAGGATCATGCAGTTGCTGAGACAGTGGGAAGCCACAAGGGCTGGAAAGCACCACACAAGCAGGGCTGGTTGGGAGCCTGGGCCCGAATCTTCCAGATATGGCAACCCACAGGGATTGCATTCTAGCAGACCCTGATTTGGGGACTGACTTTATCTTGGGCAAGCACCGTGGACACCATAATTCATGTATTCTTGAGTCCTTTCTGTGAAACAACACAGTATTGGCACATGACCAGGATGTATCCTCCTGAATATCTGAAATCACCTCTAGAATACGTATGAGAACTAATGACAGCATCGTAAATATTCATTACGCTGCATTGCTAATGATGGCAAGGAAAGGGGTCTGTGTGGCAGAGCGCAGACCTAACTTTTCTCTGTTATTTTCAATCTGCAAGCGGTAGAATCTGCAGACATCAAATCCACAGCCTCTGTCTGCCATCCAGGAAGGAAGGGGAGAAGGGTTACGTAGCAGCTCATTCACTCGCTCGGCATTTGCTGTGAGCCTGTCATGTTCCCTTTGTGTATTATCTCATTTATTTTTTTCCCAGCATTCCTATGGGAGGTAGCTATTTCTGTTTTACACAGAAGAAAACCAAGGTGGCAATTGCTGGTACGTGGTTGGACCTTGGTTCCTCGGTACTGCCTTTTGGACTCTGCCCTTTTCCCATGTGGTCCAGACATCGCTTAAGAATGCAGAGATAGGGCCCGGCGCAGTAGCCTAGTGGTTAAAGTCCTCGCCTTCAACACATGGGGATCCTATATGGGGACCGGTTCTAATCCCAGTAGCTCCACTTCCCATCCAGCTCCCTGCTTGTGGCCTGGGAGAGCAGTTGAGAATGGTCCAAAGCCTTGAGACACTGTACCCATGTGAGAGACCTGGGCTCCTGGCTTTGGATCAGTGCAGCTCTGGCTGTTGTGGCCGCTTGGTGAGAGAATCAACAGACAGAAGATCTTCCTCTCTGTCTCTCATCCTCTCTATATATCTGACTTTGCAATAAAACTAATAGATATTTTTTAAAAAGAGAATTCAGAGATAGACCCTCCAGCTCTGGATTGCCAGCAGGGAACCCTCCGAGTGCTATCTGAGTGGCTTTTGTTTCAGAATCTTCTGGGAACCAGGTAACACCAAGAACCTGTGGTTGAGGAGGGCAAGCTGCAGGTGTCACAGGGTGTCCTCCAATGATAGCGCTGAGTACAAAGGTTTGAGAACCACTGTTCCATGAGTCAATATTCAGAATCTCTGGGAGCAGGATGTAAATTATGGAAGGAAATAAAGAAAGGAAATAAACTCCATTTGGGTGATGCTGTTTCGCGTGCCCACCAGCAGGGGGCCTGGGACACTCTCAGCCAATGCAATGGGACTCGCCTCCTGGAAGACCTGAATGGTGATAAACCCTCCCCAGCCAGGCGGCAGCTTGGTTCCGTCTGCCACCCCCTTCACTCAGGAGCTGTGTACCGAACACTCTCTGTGCTCCAATCTCTCACCTAGGAACCTAACTAAGTAAACACAACCTAGGTACATCCATTAGTATAATCAAACCATCCACCCATCAGTCTGCCTACCTACCTATTCATTAAGCCATCCATCGATTCATCATTACTCTATTCATTAATCTGTCCATCTACTCATCCACCCACTCATCATTATTCTATTCATTAATCTTTCCGTCCAGCCACCCATCCCCTGGAAGTGTTACAGCCCGCCCATCCATCCATCCATCCATCCATGCACACAGCGCCCCCTCATCTGGGCACTGATCCATTCTTTCATTCATCCAGTTTTTAAATACACGGATTGCCTCCTGTGAGAGTGCTTGGGATGCAGGAATAATTCAAAATCCCCCATCTTGAGAGAATTCAGAGTTAGCTGAGGCAGAAAGCATGGTGAACAGCTTCTCTGCTACGTCAACAATGACAAGTCCTGTGTCAAATGTCTCTGGTCATTTTAGAGTCTGTGGAAAATCGAACCAAAAGGCAAGTGGACTTTGGCGACAAATAATTTTGATAGATGTACATAGATTTTTTTCCATAGTGCACATTTTCTCACAAACCTTTAAAAAAACCTCACATACACATGGATCTCAAAAATTTGTCTAAACCCTAACAACTTCGCTTTCAAGTCCATCTTCTGTGAACTTTTTGAAGCCCCTGGCACATATAAGCATGTAAGAGCAATGAATGCTTCCTGAGCACTGGTGTTATGGGACAGAAAATGTTCTATTCACATGTCAGTACTCCCACACTATGGGGAAGAGATGAAGTCATTTCTTCCAGGCCCACAGCTGGTAAGTGGTAGCCGGGATGCCAATCCAGGAGCACCTGACACCAGAGTCTCAGTTTCTGACCGTGCATCATTTCTGGCCACAGAATCCGATGTCAATGACCACAGACATGTGCCCAGAGATGAACCCTAAGTCCCTAGACTCTGGCTTAGGGGCCTGGGGGGAATATCCTAGAGAGCTTCCCCAGTCAGGGTTCTCAGAATGAAGGAAGAACACAGGTGGAGGGCAGGTCACAGGGAGGAAGGCAAATGAGGAGCTGGGGGCATGGCAGGGACACAGCTGAGCAGAGGGGCATGGAGCGAGACTGCCGGGAGCCTGGAATGCCAACCTCAGGAGTCTGGACAGTGTGCCTCCCTCAAGCTTTATGGTCCTGCTCTCTCGGGGGGCTCGCGGATTGGCTCAACATGCTAATCATCCCCGTACAAGCACCAGCATCCCAGACAGGCACAGGTTTATGTTCCAGCTGCTCCGCTTCCCATCCACCTCCCAGCTTGTGGTCTGGGAAAGCAGTCGAGAATGGCCCAAAGCCTCGGGACCCTGCACCCACTTGGGAGACCTAAAGAAGCTCCTGGCTTTGGATCGGCTTAGCTCCGGCTGTTGTGGCCACTTGGGAAGTGAACCAGTGATGCAAGATCTTTCAGTCTTTCCTTCTCTCTGTCAATCCTTCTAATAAAAGTAAATAATTTTTTAAGGCGCATTCCTTTGGCTTGAAATGTCCCCATGGCACTCCGTGGGGATGACACATGTGCTGGACATCTCTGCAGCCAGGCCAGGATGAGAAAAAGCCAACAGCAGCCTTTGGGTGGGGGGGCACGAGTGGGTAGCAGAGGAGGGCACTGCAGGCCTTCGGGAGGCATCCAGGCCAGGAGGCATAAGCTCTGGAGTGGCATGCTGCTCCTTCTATCCGTCAGCTGTGTCACTGGGGCCAGGCCAAATGGCTCTTTTCCTCTGTAAAGTGGGTCTACAGGCCTGGGCTTCCCTGCCGGAAAAAAAGACTGCTGTGAAAACTGAATGAGAAAGTGCTTGGTGCGCAGGAGATGCTCAAGGAAAGGGCCTGCCCTCTCACGGCCCCTGTGCATGGACTTTCATTCCATTGCCTTGCTGGCAGGGCTGGCTGCACAGGTCGTGACAGTGGCCTTGGCTGATTTGTTCTCTGTGTCATTTCTGTCTCTCTGAGGGTATTTTCTGGGCCAACTCGGGTTTTCTGGCTGTTGTTCAATCCATGTTCTTTTAGATTTCAGTGTGTGTTTTCTGTGAGTGATTAAGTGATGCCAAATGGGCATGTGGGGGGGGGGATAACGAGAAAGGGAACAGGATGAAGCATACACTGGTGGTGTGGGACATGTGGGGGACCTGTGGGGCGGGGAGGGGCAGCCCTGCCCCCACTCTGAGAGCACCTGCTTCCCTTGGGGAGGGAACGTGCTGGCACGAGCCAACCACACCATCCTGCTAATGCTGGGAAGAAGAACATCCAGGAATCTGAGACCTGTTCCTGGGGTGCAGTGGGCTGGTGTCTACACCATCACCACATTATCACCACGTCCTGCACACAGTAGGTGCCCCTGCCCGTCACCAGAAACACTGGTGATGTAAAGGAGAAGCAGAGAGCAGGTGCATGGCTCCCCCTGTGGCTTCAACCTGTACCGGTGCTTTCAAGCCCTGTGGGAACACACTCAGGGCACAGGGTGCTCTAAGTTCAGGGCCCTGCGGAGGCGGCATCTCGCTTTTGCTCAGTGCCTGGGTGGTTCTGGGGTTTCCCTCGCTGAGCCACAACTCCCTGTCCTTAAAGGAACTCCACAGACATTGCCACTTCCCACCTCTGCCAGCCGGTTTCTCTTCTCCAAATTTCTCTCTCTTATTCATTTTCTCCCTCTCCCCTTCTGCCCTCAATCCTAACTTAAACACGTTGTGGAAAGAGCCTGCCAGTGGCTGAGCACCTACTGTATACCAGGCTCTGAGTTGCAAGGTTTCGCCAATTCATTCTCACATCCACCTCTCTGCTGCTGGCCTGCCAGGCAGCTGGACTGCATCTGCATCCTTGGGGGGAGGGGGCATGGGCTTGAGCAATTCCCTTCTGCTCTCTGTGCGCACTTGCTCATCGTGGCGTGGGGCTCCGCATGCTCACATCGCTACCCCACTGTG